CCTTGTTATTCTATTATCATATATTTGCTTTTCTAATATTTTAGGGTTAATTTTTTTGTGTGTTTTGTATCAGAACAACTGCAAACGTGTCAACTTCCCTTCGAATGTTGTATCCTAGGGTTGTAGGTAGTGATTTGGTTGTATTTTGGTTTCAAGGTAACGATTATCTTCCTTATCCCTTCTACCATCCCTCATTGTTTGCTACCACACCTTCCTCCTCGTTGCAGCTGCCCCAAACTGCAGTTCCTTTGTTGTTCTTCCTGTAGTTCCTCGCCGTATAGACACCCTCCTTACTGTTGCCGCAGCCCCAAGAAAGTCCTCCTTTGGATGTCCCGCAATCCATGTCTTCCTCGCCGTTGTCGTTGTCATTCCTGCCCGTTGTTGCAGTCTGAAAAAAGCCATTCCTGGCAATTTTTTTGTTGTTTGAGCTACCTGGTCAGTTGTTTCTCTCATTCCAGTCTCTTGCCGTTGCTGCAACTCCTCCCATTCGTTGTCGACATCCTTCTCCCTTGTTGTCGCAACCCAAAACCGTCTTTTCCAACCAATTCATTGTTGTTCGGCTCCTCTTTGCTTCTACGACCCTTCAAACCCCTCATTTTGTTTTCCTAACCACCCACAACCCATTTCAGCCAATTGACTTCGCTTATTGACCATCTAACCGATCTCCACCACTTCTAGATCAAATCTTAATATGAGTTTGTGTTATGTTTGTTGTAATTTTCTTTTTCAAGTGTGTTTGTTTATAACCACTTACTTGCTTTCAGTAATAATGTTTGTTTTGCCTTTTGTAGTTTGGATTAACTTCGATATCCACAAAAGTCCATCATAACTTCAGTCGAACAAATTATGGAACAAATTATGAAATCTTGATTGGATTATCATCATTCCTCTACAATCGGCTCTAAGCCACAACAAATTGCTACTACTATAACTTAAATAAACGGATTAGCCTTAATCAAAAGTTCGCTCTCATGACTGTGAGTAATTGTTAACCATAAGGAATTGCATCTCCAGGAAACCTCAAATTAGATCATAAAACTCTCAAAAAATAAAAGAAAAAGCTTTCAATAGTATCTTACTTTATATCCAACCTGCCATCCAAAAAAATAAACTCATAACTACTCATAAAAAGAGCCAAGAGAGGTTTTCTTAGTCCTCAATATATTTCATCTAACATAAAATGATCCTAGAAATTTCCTCTTCTTCCTAAACATTTGCTTCTTATACTTTATATTATAGCCTTTCACAAGCCATTTGATGTATTTAAGGATTTTCATCCATTAATCTACTTAACCAAGCCTCATCCTACTTGAAATACCCTAAGTCAACATAAGCTGCAAAATGTATATAGCTATTTACAAATACTCTAATTCACTTCCCTGTTCAATGATATCACCATCTCTATTAGTATGCCACCACTTCATCCATCTTCTTTAGTTCATCCTTATCATATGCCCTCATATATTAAGAATAAATATGTCCATAACTTCATAGGGACTAGAACTTTTGCTTCTCTGAAGAATCTAACCATTACACTTACCTTTTTAATTGTCATGATTAAGTCTCCAACGATGCAAATATCCTTTTTTTTTTCCTTTTTTTATATAAACCACAAAAAAATTTGTAGCTCTTGTCCACACAAGAAGGTGCTATATTGATGTGCCTGCACTCTTTGATTCTTATAATCATATAAATGCACGTTTTCTGACAATGACAATACAAGCTTGTTGGCTCAATAACTAAAGGTGAAAAGGTGTTTCATACAACCATTCTTTTGCAATATAATTCCCTCAAAAAATAGACATACACATACTCCAAAACACATGATTCCTTCTATTGGCAAAAACTATAACAGCCGTTAACTACTCCTAATAAAAGGCTAGAAGGGCAATCTACTCTTCAATTAGCCCATCAGTAGATGCCATAAGCCAAAACAAATCCTCCAATACATATAAAACTTCTCTCCCAAGACATCCCCCTAATAAGAACCAACATTCCCTTCCCATCCTATTCCTCTTCTCATCTTGAATTTTGGGCCGCTTCAATTCAGTCAGCTAACAAAGAGAAAAGTTAATTTAACTAGTGTTGAAATGAATCTGGACTAGCCGAAGCCTTGTCTAAGCTTTGGTCATGCCTGACTAGAATTTGGATAGGTTTCAAGGTTTCTAATGCTACTCAAACATCGAAACCATTTCTAAGCATAATCCAACCAATCCCATCCCAACGCATATTTAATTATCTCCATTCAAACTTGACATGCTTCATACCAGTTAGGCTTAGATTGCATAACTCAACTGTGATAACAATATTATTGTTGATTTTTAGAATTCAGCAGAATGATTTTATTGATTTGAAAATATGATATAAATACCCTTACAAGAATCCTAGAATAAGAGAAACAAAAAAAAAAATGAAAAAAAAGATATAATATCTATATTTTCAATTAATTAATTCATAATAATCACTTGAAGATAAAGGAAACGATAAAAAATTGGGAAAGTCCAACATGTAAAAGAAAATAAATCCAATCGAATAAAATAAATCTAAAATAAGAAAGAAAATGTGTTCAATCCAAGGAAATAAATTTAATCCTTATAACTTCTAACAATAATAAATTATTTCCAAATATAACTTCTAACACTCTGTCTCTAGTTGAAACATGGTGGACAACCATGTTCAACCTGAGTTTGAAAATATCAAACAATGAGAAAGAAAAATTCTTTGTGAGGTAGAAATTGAAGTCTTCATCCCATACTTGGTAATCAGCCAAAAAAATTTTAAGGAAACTTTTAGTTGACTGTGGTTGTTTTTTACTAAGCTTCCGCAGTGACTGTAGATAGGCATATGCTGGCACAACCTTGTTGTTGGCATCAACTGCAAACTTGTCTTCCACAATGACATCATAGAATAACAGGAGTTTCACTCCTTTCAGCTTTGCCTTCTCAATAAAAACTATTGCTAGACCAAGTTTATCTTTCTCAACAAGAAACAAACCAGCAACATCTCCTTGTGCCTTGTAAAATGTGAAAATCAATCCTCCTCCAAGAAGAAGGATATCAATTTTCTCTAAGAGAAACTCCATCACCCCAATCTTTGTTGAAACCTTTGAACCACGAACAATGGCAACAAATGGCCATTTCGAAGTCGCAACAGCCCCGACAATGAAGTCAAGTTCCTTCTGCTAGAGTAAGTCGGCAATAGCAAGTTTCAAGTATTTTGTAACACCCTTTGTTGAAGCATGAGCTCTTTGAGCAGTTCCAAAGGCATCATTAATATAGAGATCAGCAAGAGAATCAAGTTTCTTTGTAAACTCTAGATCATTCTTCTCTTTTTTCTTATAAAATCTCACATTCTCGAGGAGGATGAGACTGCCATCAGGTAATGCAGCGACGATGTTCTCCACTTCCTTGCTAATGGAATCATTGGGCATCTCAATGTCAACTCCAAGAAGTTATGATATCCTAGGAACGAGAGGCTTTAAGCTGTATTTTGGGGTGACACCATTAGGGTGGCCCAGATGACTGCAGAGAATAACCTTGGCTCAATGTTTCCTCAAGTAATTGATGGTGGGAACGATAGCCATAATCTGGGTATTGTCAATGACCTTAAGGTTGCAATCGAGAGGAACGTCAGATCTACCCTAACGAACACCCAATTCCCCTTCAAATTTGCGCCCTTCAGATCGCCAACACACCTCTTCATTGTCATTCTTAACTCTCTAAAACACGGATCCGACTGGAAAGAAATAGAGAAGTAAACCAAGGTTGGAATGCGGGAATTTCAGCGCCGTCATGAAGGAGATTCGGATCCAGCAAAAAGACTGCAGAAAGATGTGTCTCTACTAAGAAAGCCGGTAGGAATTTGTAGCGTGTAGGAAGTTTTCCAACCAAAAAAAAAAGATTTCGGCTGCTTGAGGGAATTCCGGCGGTAAGAAAGGCTGCAGGAGGAATTTCGACGGCAGGAAAGGCTGCAAAAGAAAATTCCGGCGGCGGGCCCAACGAGGAGAGGATGTTTCAAGCAGAAAAACTGAAAAAAAAAGAGGCGAAGGAAGGGTTAGCAGCACAGCAAAGATTGTCGGCTGCAGGGAAAAGAAAGTTTCTAGCGGTAGAAGACTCTAAAGTTTGTTTCAAGGCTCTGATGTCATGTTGATTTTCAGAATTCAGTGAAATGATTTTATTGATATGAAAAGGGGTATAAATACCCTTACAAGAATCCTAGAATAGGAGAGACAAGAAAAAGAAAATAACATAAAAGGAAAGATAAAACATCTATATTTCTAATTAATTAATTCATAATAATTAATTGGAGATAAATGAGACGATATAAAATAGGAAAAAAAATAAATTCAATTCAAGGAAACAAATCTAAAATAGAAATGGAAATAAATCCAATCCAAGGAAATAAATTTAATCCTTATAACCATTAACAACAATAAATTATTTCCTAGTATAACTTCTAGCAATTATATATTACCCAAATTTACTTTATTAGTACAATCTATTCAAAGTAATGTGTATACTCCTACAAAAAATTCGGATTTGATTGGGTTGGATTGAGCCGATTTGGTTTGAGTTGGACTTCAATGGTTTACGCCACACATTACCAAATCCATTTTTTTTTAAGGTTGACATATATAAAAACAAGCAAACTCTAATTTCATAAAGTCAAATCCAGCTTTCTCCAGTGCAAGGATAGATTATTGCAAGTTAAGCAAGACAAAAAGTTCTTACAGCTAGTGAAGTGAGGCTCATTGGATCTACAGCTAGCAATAGAAATGTCATTCATCTTTAAAACAACAATCTAGCAATACAAGAAAAACTAACATCAATACTACAGCATATGAAACAATGACAATTACATGAACGGAGAAACGGCCAAAGCACTACGTAATATATTTCATGTATGAAGTGATCTAAAATAATGAGAAAAATGCCTTCCATGGCTGTCATAAAGCAGCCTTTCCAATCATAGGTATTAATTAAAACTAATACTGACCCTACCTTACACCTTCTCGCTGAAATGGAAGAAGTTTTGATTCCAAGTAGCTTGGTATCCTATCATATAAAGCTTCCATAAAGCAAGTCAGTCGATCAGTTAAATAATGGCTACGTTTAAGAAAAAACTTATATAAGGAAATCATGATACAACTTAATAACCTATGAACATGCTAATAATGCTAATTATGACATTCATAAGAATCGTATGAAACTGAACCGGTGATCATATGAGACTAGCATTTAAAGATCAAAAAGAAGTAAAAAAATTGTGAAAACCATGATGTTCTAATATTAAAATTTTCACCAACATCTCAACCCTACTCACAAACTCACCAGAAAGGTCTGGGGCAGCATTTGCACAAACAATAGCGCGGCATGCCAATGGATCTAGACTCTGCAACTGAATGACATGAAATCTTCATAAACTAATGGTTTTAGATCAATATGATATAATTAGCATCAAATGCAGAGTAGGATGATGTAAAATCATTAGAATTAATGGAATATTAACAACAACTTGCAATTAAGTAATTTTATTGTTGTAGAATTGAACAAAAGAGTTATGAACAAAAGAGTTAACAATATAAGAGTTAACAATATTAAAAAGTTACATTTCTCAAGCAATTTCTACATACAGCATATAAAATGTTACCTCAACATTAGCACCGCTCACTCCACTAAAAACATGTTCTGCTGTCTTCAAAGAGGAAAGAGGAAATAACCATAATCTGTAAAGTATGACTCATAGCACAAATATAAGATGGCGTTTAAAGCTACATGAAGAACTCGTGTTGCCAAAAAGTCAATTCAACACATCAATCCATAATGCTATGTAAAAAACCTTTCTTCTGGTCGCCAACTAGCTTTAGGAACTTTGTGAACTGCCTGCACTAGAATCTGGGCATAAATTAAACACTTGAGAAGAATACTGACTTTAACATGATAAGATTGAAACATAAAAGAGAAGCATGACTAGTACCGGGCTATAAGAGAACTTTGCAGCAATGAGACCGGTAGAGTGAAGATAAAGTCTTACAGAGAGTTGAGGCAAGTCATCTATAACATGAAAATCATGAATTAAATTAAATTAAAGAAAGATTATGAAATAATTCGGTCACTAATAAAAAAGAGATTATATCTGCTTTTCAGAAAGTTAAGTGTTTAAAAGTCTAATATATCATCCAAGCTTTCACCAAATTTTGATAAATAGACTTACTGGTGCTTAGAGAGTTATCATCAAGCAATCCTGAAGGAACTTCAACCTATGAAAAAGAAAATTCAAAGAATGGATTTAAAACCTGGCACAAATTACTAACAAACGGCATTGATAAAACCAAAAGGAAAAATATGGAACACTTGAAATTTCTTTAACACAAAATTCTAACAATAATTAGAGAGAACCACGTTCATTAAGGAATTAAATTTATAGATAACTAATTTTGATTGGGAAATTAAAAACAACTGTCAAATACTTGTCTTTTAGAAGTATATGAATGAAACATTTTTTAAAATAAGTCATGCAAACTCACCCATAATTTAAATCAAGCATACCTAATCAGGTGCATGGCTAGGAAAAGTATAAAGATCCATCAAAGTTGGTCAGAAAAAGCAATGTAGATGTGTTTCATGGGGATGTGATACAACATACTATTCAGATTGAACCACATTAATATAGGATTTATCAAGTTGGAATGATTTTTGTGATTTTTTGAAAAAAAAAAAAAATAGCTCACCATTTGCTTGTACCAAAACTCACAATGTCATGACAAGATACTAGTTTTGATTAAGAGGAGATATTACAAGTTTAACAAAGAGGTGTTTTTATAAGAGGAGTCAAAGTAAAAAAAAAAAAAAAGATGATATCATAAAGAAGAAGAAAGAACAGTGGACACAAACTGAAAATAAAATTCCAAGAGTGTAACCAAGATTACAACCAATGATGACGAAAATCACTTCCTCAAGTTGTCCTTTGTTGTAGTTAAGATCTTCAATTCCTAAAATCCTTCTCAAAGTGGCGCACACTAACTCATACTAAAGGTCATCACTTGAGGGAGAAGTAAACAAGGTGAAAGAAGAGAGAACGCTCAACTCAATATATTGCATTCGACATACTACTGGCCACAATATATGAACAACAGTAACAAGATGGGGAAGGGAGGTAGAGCAGGTTTTAAACAGGTTATGCAATTTTTTAAAGCAAAAACTAAAATTTTTAGGAGGTTATTGAATGCAAAACATTTCCAAGTTGTATTAATTGGATGTTTTAACTTTCAGAGAGAGAACATGAGATAATAGTAGCAGTAAGGTGGAGTCTATGTGACGACATGTTGATCAAAGATGTGGTGGAAGCTTTATAGTGAGGTGGCATCAGCAGTTTGATAATATTAAAATGAAGGGGATTTCAGCCATAAAGTAGGACAGGCTAACTCAAGTTTACAGAAGACCGTTACATATTAACTAACAAAACCATAACTCGATGAAAATTGACCAAACATAAGACTGTATAGTCAAAATGAAAGAAAATACAATGGTCTCAATAAAAATAAAAGAACATAAATCTAAACTATTAAACACAAAAGTAGCACTAAAAATCCATGCACAATTCTACCCTTTTTTAAACAATACACATTGTTGAATGAAGCCCAAGTAAATAAGGGAGTGGATGAGGATAAGTTATTGCAGTTGTTCTAAGTTAACGATGACCTCAGGAAGAATGAGATCTCTCCATCAAAAGAAAAGCTCGTTCAATTTCAATCATTAACACAATAACAATGACAGCATCAATGATGAAAATGTATACACGAGTAATACATACTTACCGATACGCAAAGTACAGAAAGCATTAATAAAATCAACAGAAATATTTTCATTGAACAAATTCAAATTTGTCCTAATATCAAATTCACATGTATTAACGCTTATCATCCATAAAATTTCATACAAACTAGCTTTCCTAACTGTAAACTTTGAGAATGTTCTCTCAAAAAACTAATCAAATCATAGTCTTATAAGCATATCTCCCTTACTAAATTTAATAAATTAATTATTTAACGTCACACTAGATTTATTCCTATCATAAATACTCAGTCCTTAAATTTCCTGGTAAAAATCATACAGACTTTGTGCAAAAGTGAATACAAACTCACTTGGAGAATGTGAACATGCAGACTCAATAATGGGAGGGCCACAAATAATTTCATACTCAAAGATTTAACCATCAGATCACTGGATTTTTAATAGAGATTAATTAAATAGAACATTTAACTAAAATGTAGTTGATAAGACTATAGAGGTCCAAGGAGGCTCTTCAATTATAGGGGTCGTAAATTCATATAGATCAACCTCTAATGATGTTCCTACCAATGTTTCATCTCCATCCCTGAAAACAAAACTTAAACCATACTCATCATTCTCATTTTTATATTGGTGTTCCTTACTACCAATAAAATTTGTGATAGGATAATTGGATTCAATAAAAACTACGAAAACTAAGGTAGAGTGGTCGGATTCAATCGAACATAAATTTAATTTGATTAAATAGAACATTATTTGAGGTTTAGTTGATATGGGCTTGCAAATAATAAATTTTGCTTAGATGACAAAAAATAATACACTCAGTTCTTTTAAATTGAGTGACTTGTGTTTTCTCCTAATGCAAGCTAATCATAATCAATAATATATCTCAATGAATCCTCTTCATGGCTATTACTATATTCTTTTGAGGGAGATTATAATGAGTATGTAGAAAGCTTACTCATGGATCTTAAATTAAAATAATAATTTGAGACAATCTTAAAGTATTGAATAGCCATATTGATAATAATAGCCATTATAATAAACCGTCGTGGAAAAGAATGTAATAAGATTCAGAATTTAGGGTTGAAAGAAAATCATTACCATCAAGTCTCAACTATTTGTTGATTTTGAAGGTCAAAATGAAAGAATTTGAAAATGTGTTGAATGGGAAAGTGGTGGAACATGTCAAATAAGAGGAAAATAGCTATTTGAATGTAAAAATTCAAAGGAAAATGATGGATATATAACAAAAATACAAAAAGAGAAAGCTAGAGATAGTAAATGCAAAAATACATATTTAAAATGAGATCTAAATGCAACACATATAAAGATAAACTTGCTTAGAAATTAAAATACAACATAGGACAGGCTAGAATGATATGAATTTTGAAAAGATGTTCACTATTTGTTCATCTAAAAAACACTACATTATATGAATAGCTAATAATTTACAAATAAAACAAAGATGAGATTTTTGCATATTTTTATATAAGGGCGAAAAACTAGACAATATCTAAAAAGAAAGAATAATAAAAACAAAAAAAGGAATTCCTTCTAAGGAAATTAAACCAATCATTAATGTGGTCAATGATGATTAAGATTACTTCCACAAACTGCCTTTTGTCAAGGATGTGATTTCCTTTGAAAATCCTTCTCCAAAGGATGCACACTAACTCTCTCGAGTAATCCCTCGCCTGAATGAGAAATAACAAAAGGTGCAACAGCGGAAAACTCAACACAGAATATTTCATTCAAATACAACATCCCATAACATTCTTAAAAATAAAAGAATAACCACAATATATAAACAAAAGCAATAGTGGCCAAATAGTTGGTGAGAGAACATGGATGGTAGGAGCATCAATGGTGATGGATAGAAAGATGGAGTGAGTTCTGAAAAAGCTAAGCAAATTTCCAAAGTGCTAAAAATTTTTTTGATGCATGTTGGATGAAAGATATTATCAATGTCTATTAACAAATCAATTTGACTTTGAGAAAGAAAAGAAGAGAATTGCCTATTCATGGTGGAGATGGTAAGGTACAGTTCAAGTTGTCACATAGTTGTCAAAGGTGAGGAAGAAGTCTTTTAATGAGTAGGCAATCAAGCTTAGTCAACCAATGTTAAAATAGAGGGGATTTTGGCCATGAAGTGAATATGCTAACTCAAGCACACGCAAGACCATTATAGCTCACCTAAAATAACACAACCACAACTCGTAATAATAACTGACCCAATGTAAGGTCAAAAGGAAAGAAAAACACTAAACACAATTTAAAAAAAGTACACAAATTTAAAATAATAAAATACTAAACAAGCTTCATAATGTGTCTTGCATCACCTCCAAACTCAAACCCAACCTTTGCCAAGTGGAGAATCTGATTTGACGATAGCAGTTGAAATTCAATGTTGTTGTATTTGGCTCCTCCTATATATAAAAGCATCATAAGTTTCTATGAGACTCCTGACTTATTTGCAATTATGGAATAGCTAATTGATCTAATAATAAATAGTCTTCCAATCAAATTTCCTCTTGTACAAAACATAAAAGTTATAGGCCTTACCCTAAATGATGCTAACCATACAGCACAATAAGTTAACCAAGCTATAATTGGTGAAGTCATTTTGATCTTGGTCTGAAGGTGATGACAAATAAAATTCAAATTTGTTTTGAATATTCTTTTTAATAGCTTTTGTTCAAAAAACCTCTACAAATCTTGAATGCCGACCAACATAATCATTAAAGGTTGTGTAGATGAAAGGGTTTAAGGTTTAGGGTGCAAAACATAAATAGTCTTCCAATCAAATTTCCTCCTGTACAAAGCATCATTTAGGTACACTGAACCTTATGCACACATATTTAGAGTTGACAAATTCTTTAGTTAGAAAGACAAGGGAAATTTTCCATTTCATAGTTATAATGACATGCCGGCTAGAACATATATTGATCACTTACAATTTGCTATCATGCGTTAACTTCCACATTATGTTGCTCTGCGTAACTATTATATTCATAAATTTATTAATGCAAAAGAATGTAAAGTGAGACATATTAATAAAAAAAACATTGGTATTCAACATAGAGTCTACCAATATGATTAAAGAAACTATTTATCGTTTGTATTTGTCCTTTACATTTCCCATCCAAGTCCTTTAAGAGAAACAAGATTGTTGGCATCAATTTTTTATGTCACGAGTGTAGGGTGTCCACCTGCATGACTTGAGATAGTCTACGGTCCGTCCGTAACATCCGATAGTTCAGACGCCCACCCGAGACCTTTTTGGCACGTGTTGAGGGGCACGTAGCAGGGGTCATTTTGCTAGACTTTGGCTTTCACTTAGGCGAAGGCCGGTAGGCATGTTGTTCGTCGGACGACTCTGATCAGGTCAAAGAATGTTATTCGTCGCGTCGCGTGCGAAATTAACTCGAATTGGCTCGATCGTCAGGGAAGTCATACAGATAACCTT